AGGAATGCTGTGGAACCCAATGCCTCTGGGAAATGCTGGAGTTACTGTGCGAGGGCTGCAGAGCTGACCTGTGTCTGTTCCCTGCCTCTACTCACCCCGACTGCAGGTGCTACAGCTAGAACTGCCTGTGCACCATGGAAAATGCCTCGAATTTCAGGTGTACTGCAGCTGGGGTGAGGCTCATGTCCACATCTTCTAACTGAACTGCAGACAACAAGAAATCCCAGGAAAATATGCTATTCATGTTTGACATATATGTTAGATTTTTATTTAAGTATAAAGTCTTCATCTTTGCCCCAGAGAGTTTCTGGAGTTAGGAAGAAAGGAATAAATGCAGAAAAATTCTTGTTTGGTCAGCACACGTATGGGGCAATCTCTGTCAGGACATCTAGAGATCAGAGAAATCATTTATCGAAGATAATTACTTGTACTGACACCTATGAAAGTGTATGGATTTCTGTGAAATCTTTGAAACCATAGCAACTGCAGGCCTCAGTGAATGTAAAGGCTTAGATAACCAGAACTTTACCTTAGATTGTCAGCAGAGATATTTGGAGGCTTAAAGTTAAATCTACTGGATTTGTCCTAAAACTACTAGAACCAAAGAGGTGAATTACGAAATTTGTGTGGTGGTTTAAACCCATTTATTGAAGGTAATGTGAAGAAAATTCAGCTTTATTTACATATTATTTGTTCAAAGACAGTGAGGGATATGGATAATGCCTGAGAGGAAATCTAACCCTACGTATGCATCCTTTCTATTAATTAGAGGATTTAAAAAAATAAGCTTCCAGGTATGAACAAAACAACTACAAAAAGATTTCTACATAAGACTATAAATATTCCTTATCTATTTTATTAAAGTGTCATCTTGTGAGCAGGTAGGCAGGAGAGCTGCAAACCAAATGAAACCAAATCAAAATAGAGTATTTCTAACACTGAAACTGTGAAAAGGAAGATACTCAGATTAGATAAGAAGCAAATGGGCATTTATTACACATTTTCACCTTGATAGCTTCAAATAAGACAAAAAAGTAACATTATCCTTGGAAAACAATGAATTCTTATTTGGGGGCACTTTATTCTTAGACTTGGACTGAACAGTTAAAAGACTAGATGATACAAGTGAGAGAAGTAGCAACTCCTGAATTCTGGAGATTTAGATTGGGTGTTCTCATGCAGGAGTATAGATATGTGTTTGCTACAGCTATACCAGCTCACCTGTAACTTTCTCAGGAATCTTTCACACGGGGTTGGGATTTGGAAATGCCTTCTGTTAACTTGGAAATTAATGTTTGAAACAATATGTGCTGACAGAAAACCAAATACTGAGGGTCAATCTCCATAAACTTTACTGCTTAAGCAGAATGGAAATAAGAAGAAATTCTGGCTCTGTAGGAACTTATGGTGGGAAACCCCCATCCCTATGTATTTGGCATTTCCAGGGAGACTTCAATTCAATTAATATACCAGGGGACTTGTAATCAGTCCCAGGATGAATGGGTCTCTGTCTATACATACATCAACAGTTGGAGAGTATCAGCATATAGAGCTGTGGTGCTATTCCAACCCATGCAGTGGTGAAGTGGATATACGAGCTGTGCTCCAAGGTGGCTGGCATTTACAATAAGTATCCAACTTATGTTTTCGATGAGGAGGGAATAATTTCCTCCTCAGAACAACATACAGAGCTTAAAACAAGGGCTCCTCTAAAGTCACTGCAATTATTGCACCTTGATTGAAACTCATGGCTCAAGAGCCTCACTTCTCCAGCATCACCTGGCAGTTGGATGGCCATTGCCTACAGAAAAGTCTCTCTGGATTTCTGAGGTTGAGACCCCTGTCAAGAGGAAGGGCTTTGGAAGAAGTGAGTGTGCCAGCATGTGTAGCACAAATATCAGCTCCATCAAAGGAGGAAAACCAGAGTTGAACTGAATTTTATTCATGTTTAAAAGCAGAGCTTCTGGGACCCTGCAGATTGCATTCAAGTTAAAAACAGTGTTGTAAAGATGCCCATATGTACAGTCCATAGCGTACACTGGGGACACTTTGGATTCTCTGCCTGTCCAGGCACTGCTGAACTCTCTGTTCTCAGAGAATTTAATTTTCTTTTAATTTGATAAGGATGATGTCTAACCCTAAAAGAAGACACTGTATTCTCCCTGAAGCTATCAATGTACTACAGATACTTAAGCAAGTGACTTCCAAGCTCTTGGTTCTGTCTCCTTGATGAACGTTTTGTAGGAAAATATTCAGAGCTATAGGGCAGCTGGAACTTCCTTCCTTCCAAAAAGGATATGGTAAAACTCTTGTTCGGAGATGCCTCATTCCTTAATAGTTACTAAAAGGATATTGCCAAGAACCCAAATAGCTGTAATCTCTTGTGTCTGTCATACCCTGTAGTTTGAAAGTACCCAAATAGCCATCAAATTAAGCACGCAACATCAGTTTATAACAAATTAAACTTAACCTTTCCTCCTGCCTCAGCTCTGAGTTATCATTTTGCAATTTCATTAAGAAAAAAACCTGAACTGAAAAAAATAGAAAAAAAACCTGAAAAAAATAGAAATGAGGTTTCATTTCTTAAGTAAGCAGCAATTGATAACTGAAATTTACAGAAGAGTTTCAAAGTGAATGTCTAATTGCGGTCAGGTTTTTATATCATCTTCATCTCTACAGTATACCTTGTCTCTCACTATTTCTGTTTGTAATAGAAATGTGTGAGAATTGCACAGATGATTTTCTATAACCACGTGACAGACCAGACAGCACTCTACTCCTTGCTGCATAATTTTTTAAGATCACATTTATGGGAGAGAGTGGACACAGTTCTACACTGCTTTTCACAGGAGGAACAACAAACGCTGCCTCTGACCAGCTGCAGGGCTCACCCTTGGCCATAACCCCCTACGCAGCGAGTGGCAGAGGTGCGATTGCCCCCTCCTCTTGCTTGCTGCAGCCTTGGGGCTGCCATGGGTGTGTGAGGCCATTCTGCCTTTGCCTTCAGGCTCCCGAAGCACTGGGCTGGGCAGCCCCCAGCTGTGCTGGGGTGCTGCTGTCAGCTTTCTAGAGTTAGCCAAGTGGCTTAAACGTATTTGGCTCACAAGCAAACTCCTTTCAAAAGCTCTGTAAGGTCATGACGAAAGCCAATCACAAAAATAGATACATGGATAGAGAAAAGTAATCAAGAAATGAGAACTGAGGGCTTAGGAGCTCTGCAGTACTTCCATTGAGGACTTGTGCAATTTCAGATGCTTCTTTCTTCCTCTCCGAATGGTGAGACATTCAGGTAAAGTCATCATGATTCAATGAACACTGGGTTAAAGCAGCAGTTCCTCTGAACTCACGAATGCTCAGCCACAAGTACCTGTCCCCTGCACCCCCAGCTTCAAGCAGTAGTGGGGAGTGAACTGCAGCACTGGGAGAAGCGCACGCAGCTGCCAGCACTGTCCCTCCATCCCCCCGACCCATCCCCCAGCAGCGTTGTCCCTCTTTTTGTCTCTGTGAGGAGTGCCACAGATGGCTGGACAAAACATCGTTGCTGGCTGGGGTGGGCTGAAGCCAACGCCTGAGGCTGAGGACTGAAATAACCTCCTGCCACCTGATAGTGGCTATGCTTTGTCCTTGTTCGCACAGCCAGCCAGAGCCGCCTGGGCAGCCAGGAAGTGCCGCAGGGGATGTGTCCCCACACAGG